TTACTAACTTTTACAATCACATGCAAAGCTATTTGGAGTTGGGTTATTGCGGCAACTGATTAATTAGGTAATCTTTAAAATCGATTTGTATTAATAATTAAAATATTAACTCTTTTAATTTCTAAAAAGGTACCAACATCAAATTCGTGGAACAATAGAATATTTTGATAAATTATAATTATATTTTTTATGTATTAATTATTTTATCAAAATTATTATAAAAGTTTATAGTGTTATCATATTTTTATCGAAATAAATGGATATACAAAATAGATTACATTTAAGAAATTCTAAAATATTTTAAAATATTAAAAAGACTTTTTACAAAAAATGATTTAGAATTTTAAATGAAATTTAATCAAATATCTTACTTGAGCATTCTCAAAGAAAATATAAAAAAATAATTCATTTTTCATCACAAATTATATATATATGTAACACATTTCTTTTTATAATGATTAATTAACTATTAATCTTCTTAATTAATTGCTTGTCCATATTTAATTTCAATCTTTATTCTATTAAAAATAAAATCTTATTTTGTTTACCCCCTTTTATAGTATATTTAAACATGTGTATCGTTTGTGTATTAATAACTTTCTTTCACATCCGTTTTTTTGATTTATAAATATTTATCCTTATTAAAAAATAAAAACTATATTACAATAATGTATATTCTTTATTTTTTAGTTAAAAATAGATTTACTTTTTGATATTTTTTAAAAATCACTAAAAAATAAAATGTTTAAGCTATAAAAAATTATTTTCCCAGATGGAATTCAAAAAATAATAATATATTTATAATATTTTTACTATAAATAACTTTATTTTACATCCATTTATTTTATTTATAAATATTTATCCTTATTAAAAAATAAAAACTATATTTTCATTCCCCTTTCCATCTGTTTTTTTCCAAAAAATTATTATGGAAATAAATCATTTGATAATAAGTTATTTTAGTTTTATATTTTTGCTTATTTCATGAGTGCAAAATCGTCACAATCCTATTTTTTTAAAAAATATTATTCAATTAATATAATTATAAAAAAATGTTTCGAAACAAATTAGCAATTATCGCTACAATATATTCGCGATAGTTGTTTCGCGGTAATATATTCGCTTTAAAGGTTTCGCGATAAAGGTTTCGCTATAAAAAATTCGCGATATTTGTTTCACTATATTGTATTCGCGGAATAGTATTTGCTATTATGGATTCGAGATAAAAGTTTCACCATAAAATCCATTCGCGATAAACGACATTCGCGAGAAAAGCTTCGCGAAAAGGTGTTTCGCGATAAAAGTTTCGCTGAAATGTATTTACTGGCTATAACATATTATTAAAGAATTATATTATAAATATGAAATACTTGCAAAAGACCAATCTTATATATTTCTTCAATTTTTAGGTATATAAAAATTAATTATACACTAATTTAATTAGTATTATTAACACATATACACATTTTGACCAATTTTGAGAGAAATCGGTCCAATAGATAAAAAGTTAAAGAATTGTGGCCAGTCTTCAAACATGGCCATTTATGGCACATTTCTCCTAATGGTAGAACAAAATTTTGACATGATTTGTGTTCTCCTATAGCCTAAATAATGATTTCACAAATTTACACAAAATTGATATATATAATATAGATTTACTTTTTATAAAATAATAATATTCTTTAAATAAAATTCTTTATTATTTTTTTTAAAAATAATGGGTTTTTGTGCCGGGTCTGAACCCCGGGTCTGTGCGCGGGGTTCGTGCTCAGAGCTGGTTTAGTCAATATTTTCGACCCAAACCCCGGGTCTGGGCTCTACACAACCAACCAATTAACAACACTAATAATAATCTTAAATTACATAGCTACATAAATAATAGATGCTGGTTAATTTACAGTCATAGCCATGACACTCACGATGGTAACCCATATCAGAATTTATGATGTTAGAATTGATGAAACAAAAACACTAAAAATCTTTAAAAGAGAGACATTTTGCGACTATAAAATAAGAACTAGAGTGATATTATAAAAGCAATTAAAATTTTGCATATTATTGTCGCACCATCTCTAGTTGGTATATTATATCTTAAAATAATAGTAGTTTGTAATAATATCTAAAATATATTCGTATTAAAAATTTAACTCAAAACTGTTATTCAAAGAAGAAAAAAATGCTTTGCTAAAAACACGTAAAAAAAGAGAAGAAAAGATATCTAATTTATTACATCCATTGTGGGATGAATAATAAGAGGTTTAACTATAATAACATTTTAAATAAATAGTTGAATGCAAATTGTTACTTATATTTATTATCAAAAGCATTGATTAGTAATATTTTAAAAATATTAACTAATATATTATATAACTGTCAAATACATCTGCAAAAGTGGCATTTTACCTAATATTTTATAAATAATTATATATAATAGAGGATTATAAACTATATGCCTACTTCCTTTTTATAAATAAATCTCTTATACTTATTTGGATTTGGATCTTGAATATAATTTTAGAAAGAGACATGATAATAAAATTAAAAATCAATAATATGGTTGATTAGTGATGTTAAACTCGGCTAATTACAATTAAATTTGTTAATTTTCAATTAAAAAATGATTATATTAATTTAATTAGGGTGATATAATAATTTATATAATAAAAGTCAATTAAGATTCAACTGTTAATGCTAAATTAATATTTAGTGAGTGATATTGATATATTTTTAACACAGAATTTGATCGCAAACTGACATAGTGAAAATATAATTTATATGTATTAATCTAATAATTAAAATAGTATTTATTTAATAAAAATTTAGATAGTCTTATTAATTTATAAATAATAAAATTAAATCTATATATTACTCAATAGAATTATAGAAGAAATTGTTCAGGGAGCAATTAAAACAATTTATTTTTAGTTCAAGGGGATATTAAGGAGTCATTAAAAAAAAAATTTTTGCTTCGGAGGGCTATATAAATTTTTCAGGGGGCTAGAGCCCCTTCTTTCCCCCCCTAGCGACGCCACTGCTTGTTTATTTATTTTCATTAAAGTTTTTGAAAATTTGTTAATTTAATTTTTTGATATTTTGGACGCAGCCTAATGTAAATTTCTTGTAAAGTGTTTAAATTAATAGTGAAGTTAATCTTGTGTTTAGCAAAATTTATTTAAGCCCTTTTTGATATTGGGACTAGTGATCTCGATCGGGCCTAATTTTTCAAGCCCGGCCTGGCCCGAAATTTTTTTGGAAATTTTTGCCGGCCTGGCCCAAACCCAAAATTATTTGAACGGCCCGAATTTTTAAATATAGAAATTCATTTTTATAATTACTCATAATAAAAGATTTATGTTATATGACGTCTAGTTTCTATAAATAAAATCAAATATTTTTATTTTACATAAAAAATTTAACATAAAATTGATAAATTTAAATTAAAAAAAATTCCAGCCCGAACCCGATTTTTTTTTAAAAAAGGGCCTACTTTTGCAGATCTCTAATTGGGACCCACCATTACCACGAATCAGGGATCGGCTCCCTATTTGATTCTTATAATTATCATTTAGGATTATTTACTTCAATATATTGCAAAGTTACCAATGGCGCCATAGGTTTCCTCCTAACGATTATTTATATTTAATGGTAACTTAAAATATTTGTTTTTGTTCGGTACATTCATATAACAGGTAATTAAAACAGGATAAAAATTAATAGCCGAATTTTCTTTTTTATTTATTTATATTTTAGGATCTATTATTGATCTGGCTGAATCCATATCCAGATGCCCACTATAATAACGACTCGATCTTCCTTCTCTTTTCAAAATTATGTTTGGATCTGACGTTAAGGAACGTATTAGCCGAGTCCTGCATGACCCGTTCCTTTCAAGAATAATATATTGCTACTTTTGAAAATAACGTGCTACTATTACTAAGGGCAGGGCAAATTTAAAAAAATGTATTTTAATATTTTCAATAAGTAAAATCAAATATTTTTATTTTACATAAAAAAATTCAATATAAAATTGATAAATTTAAATATATTTTAAAAAAATTCCAAAGTCCGACCCGACCCGGCCCGAATTTTTTTTAAATATTAGACCCGGCCCGAACCAGATTATTTAAAATAGAATTAGGCCAGGCCCGAAGCCCGTACAAATACCTTTAGAAAAATGCTTTTAAATATAAACTAAATACTTATAGAAAAATAAAAAAAAGTATTTTAATACAAAACTGATGATTTTGCATAAATAAATATTTGATTAATGCATTTTGCAAGTCATTTTTATAGTGTCACTATAAATAATTTTTTACTTAAATTATATTTTTATTATTAACTATTTTCTAAACTTCCAATAATTATTTAAATATCTTCATATCGAAAACATTGCAATTATTTATCTACAATGATACAAACATCATAAATATATTTAGTAGCACATAAATTATGTTATAATGGCAAATTATTAATAGAGTAGTTTTATTGAGTTTTAAAAAACATAAATTTGAGCATAATTATTTTACATAATAAATTATATTACAGGTAGAAAATAATATGAAGCAAACATAAAAAAATCAATCACATTTAAAAATGTATAAGGTCAAGATTTTCAAATAAAAAAATACTTAATCTAATCTATTATTATCTCCGTTTTATGGCGATTCCCAGGTTTACCCGGGTAGGCCAGTTTTTCCTCTGATTCTTTTCCATTTTTGACGGTCCTGAGCATCAATATTTGTAAGATTCATGCTTCTCATATCCGCCGCTATCATATTTGTCCACGTCATTATGGGCCTTCCTCTAGGTCTTGATTCTCCTACTTCCATCAAGGTACATCTCTTTATCCAGTCATCTTTTGTCATACGTTCCACATGCCCAAACCATCTTAGTCTATTTCGTCGCATTACCATTCCAATCTTACATATTTTATCCCCAATTCTTCCTCAATGTTTGCCATTAATACAAGGTCATCTGCATATAATAGCTCCCAGGATCCTTCACGCTTCACCCATTTCTCTAGCCACCACGTCCATTACTATGATAAATAATAATGGACTCAGCACGGATACTTGATGAAGTCCTACCTTCACCTCAAAGCTTTTACTATCACCATAATCCGTCAATACTGCTGTTTGTGCTCCCACATACATTACCATCACTGCGATAACCAACCATTCCTCCAGACCTGATTTTCTCAAGGCCCATCTAGTAACCTCACGCGGCACCCTGTCAAATGCTTTCTCCAAATCAACAAACGCATAATACAGTTTCTTTTCCTTCGCAAAGTACTTTTCCTGTATCTGTCTCACCACAAAAATTATATCGTGCCTTTCCCCGATGGAAAATCAAACTGCATTTCATATTTTAGTTTGTTCCCTTATCCACTTCTCTAACACCCTCTCAAATACTTTCATCGCATGTTCCAAGAATTTAATAGCTCTGTAAGACACGCAATCTAAAGGATCACCTTTCCCCTTGTATACTGGGATAATTATAATTCTTCGCCAATCCTCGGGAATAGTTCCTTCTGTGACAATTTGATTGGCTAAATTCATTAACTATAATCCCTAAATCATCAGAATCTTTAAACATCCCTGATACCACCATCGTTAAACCCGATAACTTCCCTTTTTTTTATCTTTTTAACTGCTCTCTTTATTTTATCCTTGCCAAATTTACACTCTGGACCTTCTATCTTTCAACAGCTAACATTATTATCCATTCATTTTCTTCGTTCAAAGATCTTCCATGTGTTCTTAATAACACTACTATCAATCACCATTTTTCCTTTCGTATATTTCGAACATTTAACACTTAACACATCCTGCCTCTTTTTTGACATCTGCTTTGCCATTCGAACCACATTTCCTATTCCTTTATCGCATTCCATTTCTTTAGCAAATTCCTGTCTTTTTCCTTGTTGCGCCTTCGCTATTAATTTCTTAGCATTTCTTTTCATCATCTTGTAAATTTCGTTATCACTATTTTCTTTACTATTATACCATTCTTTGAAGCATCTCCGTTTCTCATCCACAGATATAGCCACCTCCGGGTTTCACCACCAAGTCTCCTTATGTCTAGGCATCCCTTTTGTCCTACCACATACCTCCTCAGTTGTCATCACCCAGGCTTTCTTCATGGCTTCCCACTTGTCATTTACCCCAAATGCTTGTGCCACTTCCGCCTTCCTTATCGCCAATGTCATATTGAATTGACATCTGGCACTCTCCTCCTTCAATTTTCAAACCTCCAGCCTTGGCACAAACCTTCTTTTAGTGATCCTGGCGCCTAAAGTGAGATCTCCTATAATTAGTCGATGCTGATTAATACATTCCTCTCCCGGTATCACTTTCACATTTTTTTACTATACATCTATTACATCTCTTTAATAACAAATAATCCACTGCACTTTTGGTACTAATCGACTTATAAGTCACCAGCTTCTCTGATTCTTTCTTAAACATTGTATTACAGATAATCATATCCATAGCATCACTAAAATCTAAAATCCTCTCCCCTTTCAAATTTCTCATGCCGTAACTGAACCCTCCATGTACTCCTATAACCCTCACTACTCGCTCCCACGTCCATTCAGATCACCAGCCAGGATAATCACCTCTTCATTTGTCAGTCTCGATGACATTTCCAATAGACTATCCCAAAATATATTTTTCTCTTCTTCATTTCTTTCAACCTGAGGAACATATGTAATATTATATAGCTTTCTACCAAAAATAATCTTGATAACCATTATCTGGTTATCTAGCCTTCTCACTTCGTCTACATTGTCTACCAATTTCTCCGTAACCAATACCCCAACTCCAGCCTTACCATCATTACTTCCTTGCCAAAATAATTTATACTTTTCACTAGTCTTGCCAATCATTCTTGCGCCCTTTACAGGTCTCCTGTATGCATCACACATCTATATGCCTTCTATGCAATACATCAACCCCTTCTCCCGCTATTCCCGTCATACTCCCAACATTCCATGTCACGACCCTTACTTGATCCCCCGTAAACTGGTTTCTCCACTTATTATCAAGTCGTTTATGGCCTTCATAAGTTTCATTTTCATGGTTCCACCAGGTTAGGCGGATGAGGAGGCCCACGGGGTACTTTGGGCGGTACCCCGACCATGCTTTGTTGTTATTATAGGGAAATTTTGTAACATCTTTCCTGACATCAACACCTTTAAGTGGTTTTTACATCCCGTCGAGGAGACGGTGATTCTATTCTAGACCCAGATCACAGGGAACCTTTTAGACCTCCATTAACAGCCAAAAGACGTTGTTAATCCCCCTCCACGATGAGGCGGAAGGTTGGATTTTGGGAGAGAATCTAATTTATTGTCCATTAATTAAATTTTCAAAACTGGCATTCAAAGCAGAATAGGAAAAATAGAATTATATTCAGAGTTGGGCAGGTCCTCCGGAAAAAGAATCTAGATACAGATTCTTTATAAAAAAAATTGATCTTCGATGAGATACTAATATCTTTTTCAAAATATCAAAAAGATAAAAGATACATGTATCTTTTGAAAATGAGAGAATCTTAAATATAAGATACTTTTATAAAATTTTCACTACCAATTAAATTAAAATAATTTATAAAATATGATTGTGTATTATTTATACACAATCACATATAATATGAATATTTACAATAATTAATAAAATATTTAATTACGAGTTAATTATAATAATCATTCATTTTAATATTAATTTTATTCATAGCATAAACATGGAAAGGAGTATTTTTAATGGGAGTTGAAATATTAGTTTGCAAGAGTATTTAAAATAGATTAAATCAATTATTATTAAACCCAGTGGCGTCACTAGGAGGGGGCGTGCAGGGGCTCGAGCCCCCTGAAAAATTTGAATAGCTCCCTGAAGCAAAAAAAATTTTTTTAATGGAACTTAACCCCTTGAACTAAAAATAAATTTTTTTGATTGGCCCCTGAACGATTTCTTTTATAATTCTATAAGTAATATATAGATTTAATTTTATTATTCAAAAATTAATAAGACTGTTTAAATCTTTATTAAATGAATATAATTTTAAATATTAGATTAGATTAATGCACATAAATTATATTTTCACTATGTCAGCTTGCAATCAAATTCTGTGTTAAAATAGAATATCAATATCACTCACTAAATATTAATTTAGCATTAACAGTTGAAGCTTAATTGACTATTATTATTTAAATTATTATATAACCCTAATTAAATAAATATAGTCAATTATTAATTGAAAACTAACAAATTTAATATTGTAATTAGCCGAGTTCAAAATGACTAATCAATTGTATATTTATTTTTAAATTAAATTATCATATCTATTCCTAAAAATATTTTCAAGGTCCAAATAAGTATAAGAGATTTCTTTATAAAAAATAAGTAAATTGACATATAGACATATATATAATCCTCTATTATATACAGTTGGTTATAAAATATTAGATAAAATGCCAATTTTATAGACGTATTTGACAGTTATATAATATATTACAGTTAATATTATAAAAAATTTTACTAATAAATACTTTTGATATTAAATATTGTAGCAATTTGCATTCAAGTATTTAACGTAGTTAAAAATAATTTTAAATTAAACATTTTATTTTTCATCCTACAATGGATGTAATAAATTAGATATCTCTCTTTTTTAACTTGTTTTTAGGAAAGCTTTTTTTTTCTTTTTCGAAAAACAGTTTTGAGTTAAAATTTTATATATTTTTTATATTATTACAAACTACTATTATTTTAAGATACAATATACCAAATAGAGGTGGTGCGACAATATTATATAGAATCTTAATTGTTTCATAATATCATTCTGGTCCTTATTTTATAGGTATAAAATATTTCATTTCTAATATGGCATTCTTGCCGTGTAAATAACTCAAGGCTTCAATATATTTGCATATTTATTTCCTCCAAATATTATCATTGTTTTTATTTTATAAATTTATTTATCATAATAAATTCTGTTATTAGTTTACATCTTGAGTGTCATGGCCAGGGTTGCCAGGTCAAAATTTTCAAATTGCGGGAGTAATTTGGTATTATGCGGGAGAAATATGAAAATTGCGGTAGAAATATAAAAATTGTTAAAAAATTTTTTTTTTGAATTGACTAAATTATCCGCCTATTATTTTTTATAATTAGTTCATATAAATACAAAGTCGGTAACTATTTTTCAAAATAAAATACGTTTTGATTTATTAAAATATATTAATTTATAGAAAAACCAACGATCTTTTTTAAATATAAAAGGTAAACAAGATAAAATTTTATAAAAAAAAACGACTTTTAATTTTGCAATTAAAAATATATTTTATGCGAATGTCCCGCAAAACGACCGCAATTGGAAATCTACCATGTGTGTGTAAAATTATAGGGATAGGAACTTAATTATCACCTATCATGTTTAAATACATAATAAGGTACTCCAAAAATAAGAAATAATACAGATACAACTACAGTTGCGGCAATTGTATCACTTATCTTGTAGTTCAACATTCACAGAGATACTTAACATCACAATGTTGGTAGAATAATATTTAACGACTTATAAATTAAAACTATACTTGTAGAACAAAAATGAGCAAGGCTATCACCAATGTTTTAGGACCTAAATCCAGGAGGTCAATTCTTGACGATTTGAAAAATGGGCATTCATATGCAATTCTAACAGATGCATAATAAGGGAAATATTTTTCCTCCGCTATTTCAACAAAATTAAGGTCGTAACTATTAAATCTTTTCCCCTCAAATAGTGAAAAATCTAAAGACATAGCTAACCATATAATGGTAAATATAGCAGATTCGAGATTATCAATAAATTGCATGTCAGCTTTCTGATCTGATAATGCCTCATTGAATTTGGTGAAAACATAGTGTATTTACAGAATTGAGTCAGCACAATGTTGGTTGCGATATGTTCTTAATACCCGTCATCGATAGAATTTTAAAATTTTATAAACCTTTAAAAAAATATTTCTTAAATAAAGATTATAAAAGCTGTCCTAATATTTTGAAAATTTTTTTCAATAATGAATGGCAGAGGTATATTTAGGTAGGAAATCTACTACATGCTGTTAATGTGTAGTTGCAATCAGAAGAATCTTAACAAAGATTCACAAGATTATGCTGCAGATGTGTTCATCTTTACAGTTAAAAATTGACTCTAAATTTTATGGCGCCATTGCTAAGACTTAATTATATTTTATTTGAGATTAAATAATAGAACTTAATGTTTACCGTCATTATTGAGATATTTATAAAATTCCTGGCATGACATATTATATATTGTTTAACCATTAGCTCGGCCTCTAATGTTGTTAAAGCAATTCGATTTCTCTCCTTTTTCCAGGTAGTCCTCATCAGTCTAAAAATGCGCTCGGGTGAGGCATTAGAATGAGGTAAGGAGAAGACATACTCGCATATTTTTCCAAGCATGGGGATTTATCGTTATTACGAAAAAATTCTACCCATTTCTCCTCTGCTTTTAGACCATTTAACTTTAAGTACTTTTGCGAATCATAAAA